ACTTTTCGTTTTGATTATGCCTTTGATGACATGGCTCCTAATGAAATGGTTTACAGGTATGTGTATATGCTTTTTTTTTTTAAATCTTTTTTCTTGTATATCTCCCATGTCAATAACTGTGGGCTTACCTTGATCATGGACTTTACTTCTACTTTCTGTGTTATTAGATATGCATATTGCTACCTCCATTCTTTTGCTTGTTTACTTTTGTTTGAGCTCTGTTTATCCTGAACTTTTCATCTGTAATATCATCTCCACTTCTGTTGACCTCAGTCCTGCTCTCAGTCCTCCTCCAAGCTCTGCCTTTCCAGGCTCTAGCATGTATTGCCTCCTCAGGAGGCAAACAAAGCAGGAGAGGGTGGGGAAAGAGATGGGGGAGGGGGGGTGAGAGAGAGGGAGAGGGAGGTTATATTTGTTCTGTTGCTGAGATACCTGATCTAGTTTGGCTGTTGGAAGCAATCTAGCTGATGTAACATGGAGGTACATAGAGCTAATTTATCTTGCTCAAAATGCTGAAACTTTCTGATTTAAAAAACAACAGCCAGAAAGACACACAGACACCCTCAGCCCCAAGGTATTTGGATCTCCATTTTCTCCTTTATTCTTCTGTTTCACTTCCACAGTTGGAACAGAATAATGCACACAGCGCTTTTAAAAACTTGTTTAGAAGTAGCTGTTTACCTTGTACAAGTCGCTAAATGGATTAGATACAGTAGCAGACAAGGTTAGACATCATGACAGGTCATAATCTTGGTACGCAGTCTAAATATTGTGAAGATTTTTGCAAGGAATATTGATATTAGAAAGGAATTTGATTAAGATAATTTTCCTTATGCTTAGAAAGTGCTTCCCATAGCCTTAAGGAGTAGTGATAGAGAAATATCTTAATTCTTGTTTTTAATCCAACAACTAGGAAGTGAAAGTTGGCATTGTATCCTGATTGAGGTTAAACGCTAACATCCTGTTGATGGATAAGAGAACATTCTTAGTAAAAGAATTATGAAAAGGCCTTGAAAATGAAAACTTATGTCTTATGCTTGACTTAAGTAAGAGGAGAAGAGTAGCAAAAATAAAATCTTTTTAGTCTGTTAGTTTACACTAATGAAAGACTTCTAAACAGCAAAGCTGTGCCCTTGGAAAATTCTGTCTCTAATGATTGTCTACTGGTAGCATCTTTTCTTTCTTGGTACTGAAGAGCTGTGGGAGAGAGATCTAGTTGGTGAGATGTGTCTCTTGCAATAGTTTTCCTCCTGCTTAACAACCAGTAATTATAATCTCCCTCCTTCCTGTTATTTGTCTTTGTGAGTATAGTGTTTAAACGTGAGTGCTGGTTTTGACATATAATGTTATGTTTTTGTAATGAATTTCTTCTGGACAGTTCTTATTAGTTACATAATAAATTAATAGTAATATGTGAAAATATTGAAAGATGCTTGTATTCATACTGAAACAGTAAATCTCTAGTCTGTGTAGCAGTACAGACTTTTTCCTTCTCCCTCATATGGCACAATAATGATTATTACATGAAGGATAATCTGCTTCAAGGCCTCCTGTAATAACACAATTAAGAGGAAGATAGGTATTGTCGTCTGCTCTCATCAGAACTATCATCAGGGTCACAGTGGGGAGAAAAAAAGGCATGACAAGTTACTCCAGTTTTCTTCAGTATGCTAAAATTACTCACTATATTTCTGTACTGAAGAATGTTCTGGAGAAATATATTACTCTTATGTTTTTATTATTATTTTTGTTAAGCTGTATTTTAAGTATTTTTGAATCCATGAGCCACAACACTGTGTTGCAAGTTTTCTTTATTATTAAAAAACATGCACTAGTGTGAATGGTTATGCCTTTTGAATTTTAATGGAGAATCAGAGTTTATATTTCTGAAGGATCAAGATTGCAAATAAAGGTTCTACTAGGAGGAAAGTTTGACTGTTTTGGTGTGGTACCGTTTGGAGTTGTATAATGCTTTACAAAAACTTTTCTAGATATGCTTGTATTTTGCCTTATTTTAAAATATATATAATTAAGTACCTTTTTTATAAATCGGCAAAATAAATAATTTTAAACTCAATTAAACAGAGATAATGGAATGTGCTTCTTAGGTGGATAGGTTTCTTGAAATTTATATTTTAAATAGAAAAAGAACAAACATTGAAATATGGGAATATCCTCTTGAGGACAAAGTATATGTTTAGAGGAAGCAAAAAAGAAAGACTAAGGCTGATCAGGAATCATCTGGTACATTTTTGATGAAAATTGATGATTCAGTTAAACTTAGATTTTTGCATAACCCTTGGTTGCTGAATGGCTCGATCTTACCCATATTATTTTTATAAGTGATCTTGTGTTTGTTCCTAAGTGGAATGAAAGGAGGTTGCAACACCTCAGTGTTTCTGTAAACAATCATTCTTGTTTCTGTCACTAAACATACTTTTATGTGTAAATACCTAGGAAAAGTTTAGAAAGAAAGACTGCTGCAGAGAGACTCTTACCTCTATCACCTAGTGGAGGTAACCCTCCATAAGGTTATCCCTTGCTTTTGGAGTTTTTAATGAAGTAATGGTGATAAGCAGCTGAAGTAGGAGCAATAACTCTACATTTTTTAAATTAAAAATTAATTCTCTAGAATAGAAAAATGATACTTTAGAGAATATTTTTGACACATCAAATAATACTTAAGGGATAGCCAGATTTTTCCATTCTGATGAGCTTGGGTATACATTTTCTTGAGCCTTTTCTCAGCGTGACTATGTTCTCAAAATATTAAGATGTGTAATGTTGTTTTGGCCACCTGTCTTCTAAACTTAACCTTGGAAGCTGATTTAGGGGAAAAAAAAAAACAAAAACAAAACTATAGCAGAATTTTTGTTTGGGCAAAATCTAAGTATTTATCTGCTGCACTGTCCTACTTCCATATCTTCTAATGTTGTCTTCTTTAAGGAGCTCCAAACTCCATGTAGTAAGCTGTGCCATGTTGCATCACTAAAACAAGGAATTATTTTTTTCTCAGGCTTTGAAGGAAGATAATATTGTTGTAAAATAAATGGGAGACACCTTGTAGCTTTTGTTTAATCGTTTAGGTTATTTTAATGCCTTAGAGCTGGTAACCTCTTTAGTTCAGGAATCAATGTGGAGATGTCCTTTGGCCTCTCAAAGTACAGAACCAGTTTTGTCACTTCTGGCCTTAAAATTTATAGTGTCCTTGTGGTAGTGTGGCATCTTAAAGTAATTAAGTTTCTTCAGTATTGCTGTTTTTTGCATTTAAGGTTTACAGCTCGACCATTAGTGGAGACCATATTTGAAAGGGGAATGGCCACTTGTTTTGCATATGGACAAACAGGCAGTGGAAAAACCCATGTAAGTATTTCTTCTACATGTCAGCAATACACTTCTTTTTATGTACGATACACTTCAATAAATACTAATAAGTAGCAGGTATGTAAGTTACAGTTCTGTGATCTTTATAGTGTATTTTTGGGTTTTTTTTGTTTTTTTAAATTTAGACTATGGGTGGTGACTTTTCAGGAAAGAACCAAGATTGTTCTAAAGGAATATATGCGCTTGCAGGTAAGACTTTATTGTTCTGCTGGCTTTTTCAAATTAGTTGAGGTCAATACATTTCTAGTCCCTGTCATACAAACATAAGGGTCTACATATTTTGCATTACAGTGGAGCTTTGGTAACATAAAAAATAGTTCCTATCTGTGTAATCTTTACACAGTAAAGTAAATATATATATATAGATAAATTCAAAAACATAAGAGATATAACTAATGATTAAATGAGTTTACAATTTTGGGGTCTTCTGCATCTTCCAGTGTAATGTGGCAGTTTAAACTGCAGTGCTTTTTACTTGATTGGCTGACCCTATCTGTTACACTTGCAAAATATGAGAGATGCTGTAAAATAGACTGTTGCGCATTAATGAGTCTTCACTAAATGAAAATAACATAACTAGATTTCTTTTATTTTGGAAATGCATTCACAGCTCGAGATGTCTTTTTAATGCTAAAGAAGCCAAACTATAAGAAGTTAGAACTTCAAGTATATGCAACATTTTTTGAGATCTACAGTGGTAAGGTAAGTACCTGATCTTTTTCTGAGGAAGGTGGAATTTCTCTTTCACAGATAAGATTGTGAGCTTGTCACATAAAAGATTTTTTTCCTTTTTATACTGAAAGTTTTATTTCAAATAATTTTTTACACTTCCCTTCCAATCATGTTTGTGCATTAAATGCTTTGCATAATTTGATGCAAGATTTGAAGCAAAAATGTCTTTTAAAGCTCCTCTTTAACTGTTCTGTTCCCCCCCCCAAGGTTTTTGACTTGTTGAACAGGAAGACAAAATTAAGAGTGTTAGAAGATGGTAAACAGCAAGTCCAGGTGGTGGGATTACAGGAACGGGAAGTCAAATGTGTTGAAGATGTTCTTAAGCTTATTGAAATAGGCAACAGCTGCAGGTATCTCCCATGGCTTCCACCAATTTTTCATTGTAAATTAAAGAATCAGAACAAGATTTTTTTTGTGTCTCTTCATAGTGATGGCTTTTTAATATGCAGTGGTATTTTTTATAATGTTGGCTGCAAGTAAGGAATCTGCCTGTCTTTTGAATAAAGGTAGTTTAGAGTTTCTCTCCTAGAGAGAAATATGAACTGATTTTTCTACAGGATGTGAATTGCATGCATTATATAACCGTTTTACTGACTTAAATTCACATCATTTATAATCTAGAATACTGCCAGATTCTTCGGTTCTAAAAGGCCTTGATATGTAGTGACAGAAGTTAAATATAAAATTTTTATTTTTTGTTAAGATCCAGCTTTATTGTTTTTAAAATTAGCCTTCTGCATAGTCTGCTGCCTGATCAGATAAAAATGCCACATTGCGGTATTTTACATGTAAGCTCCCTGATAATCTGAAATCTTTGGAGATCGGATTATTCTTGCTTTTAAGAGGGAAGTAAAATGTTACTAATCTTCCATTTCTGTTTGAAGAATTGTAAAAATAGGTATAATTATACTATGTATATCATATTATTAGGGTAAATACAGGACTCTGCCCTGAAAAGCTAACGTTTTGAGGGTAGTGTGTTTAACATGTATGGTCCTTCACCTGTTGATATGTCCTTCCTTTCTTTCCTTTTGTTAAAGAACATCTGGCCAGACATCTGCAAATGCACACTCATCTCGAAGCCATG